ACGTGCGCCTCTAGCCACTGTGTGTGTGTGTGTGTGTGTGTGTGTGCGCGCGCTTGTAACCTCTGTGTGTGTGCGCGTGCTTGTAGCCTCTCTCTCTCTCTCTCTCTGTGTTTATGAAACAGAGACTGAGAGTCTAGCTGGGCATGTGTTCATGTATATACACCTGTGTTCGTATGTAAATACTAACCCCCGGACACTGCTTTGAAAACCTCAACCACAAATAGCTATAAATAGCGCGCATGAGCTCTAAGACTACTTAGATATGTGCGTGTACACACACACACACACACACACACACACACACACACACACGAGAGAAGTGGTGCGAATTCACAAGCCCCACACAAGAAGCTGCTTCTCAAAGCCGTGCCTGGAGGACAATGCGTTAGGCGGAGGGGGTCTCGCTAATAAGCCCTCGCGATGCAAGGCTAGAGCAGTTCGCTGCCTACGCCTAGGAATGGCTGCAGACCGAGCAGAGGCGAGGCTGTGCCTCATCCAAGCGTGTGCAGTGACCGGCCGAGACACAAACACAAGCATCCAGACACAGACGCCGACCCGAGCTAACCTCGCAGCTAGCCCGGCCAGAGCCTACCTGCCGTCAGGACACTCGCACGCGCTGCGCGCAGGCAGGGGGACTGGACGGGTTTGCTTTTTGACAACCACCACGCCCACAGAGCCGGGCTGTAAGTGGAAGTGTGTGTGGCGCTCCCTAGCTTCGCAGCTGTGACTCCCGCGGCCAAGCGGCGGGCCTTGCGCCCACGCGCTCAGCGCTGCGGGCCCAGCCTGGGGCTTTTCCAGTCCTACACGGTTCTGATGAACATCATTTCCACGCAGCTGCTGGGGGAGTGGGCGGGTCTGACCGACTGAGCCCGGGAAAGAGCATCCTCCGCTCAGAGCGCTGGGCAGCGCTGGGCGCGGGTCCTCAGCCACCTCTCCACGCCAGCGGCCGCGTAGCAAACGCCGCACGGTAACATTTAGGAAGAGAGCGAATATGGTTCCCCTGGGGCCGAGGAAGAGGGAGCAGGACTCCCGCTGAACTCGGCCACGGCCTGCGATGCGAGCGGGCCCTTGGCAGGTGTACTACAGAGCCAGCATTCCCAGCGGCTGGGAGGTTTTAACCCAGATCGGACCGGCTGGCATCATTTGGCCATTACTACCGATAATGGTAAAAAGCCGGCAATGAAAAAGAAATGACAGGGAACATGTAATGATGGAATCCACCCCCAACTTTCAATTTCTCCCTTTCCAAAGTGATAATGTAGCCAGAAAATACGGGTCTCACCAAAATCATGGGCTGCTGCTGGAAAGCAGATAAGGAGGGTAGGGGTCGGACATCGAAATGCCTGACCCTAGCTAGACAGGGTTACATTAACTTAATGAAATATATATATATATAGAGAGAGAGATGTAAGGTCCAGAAATCAATGGATGTGCAAATGCGCTTAATTACCAGTGCTGCAGTAACCCTTGCTCTCATAGAATCACAGAAATTAGAACTTAGCAAAGAAGACACATCCAGTCAATCCCCTACTCCCAAAAACAAATGTAGGATCATTCAAGCCAGCCAAGCTATGTTTAAAAACAAGACATTCAACAGCAAATCCTTTTCCCACCCAGTCTGACCTGTTGCATTTATGCAACTTTTTGCAACATTATCACTAAATGTTCATGATGTTACTTGAATACAGCCTCTAGCAGGCTCTATAGCCTATCCAAAGTTATGTCTATTTCTCTAACTTATCCCAAACAGGAGTGAGCCCATGGGTTGAAAGAGTTTTCTCTTGAGAGAAAGCTTCTGTGTCAAACAAAACGAGGGGGAGAATTTGGCAGATAACTCTCATTCAATTTGCAGCCAGTAATTACACCCCTAAAAGAACAGGGTCAAATCCCTACTTGCTTTAATAACCAAAGGAGTGTCTAATTTTCCCTCCCACCCCGTCCAATCTTTTTCTTTACCGCCAGCATTGTGGAGGATCGGTCTCTTACCTCTTTCACCCAGCCGCTCAGTGCAGGAGGCAGCCTGTTTTCTCAAATGGTTAAAAAAGATATGAAACAGCCCAAGTGAGCGAAAGCAGGAACTTATAGGACTGAAGAGCTGTCAGAGATGGGGGAGGGGGTTGAGGGCGGAGTTTTACAGAGGTTGGCCGAGGCATATAGACTCAGCGCGGGGGCCGCGCTGAAGCGGCACAGTGACACGTGGAGAAAAGTACAGAGACTTGTAGTTTTTATACACATACACATACATGTATAAATAGAGCGGGAAATCCCTGCCCGATCACCTGTTTTACTGCAAGCTTTATTTTACTGTAAACGAGCCGTGTATCAAAATCTACAAGAAAATGTCTGATGGTGATGGAAGGCTTCTTAATTTGCTGCCAAAAAAAGTTCTTGCGAGAGAATCTTGCGTCTCAGTGCCCTCAAAGCAACAGCTGTCAGCGAGAGACGGGAAGCGAAATGCACATTGGCTGACATTCCATAATAAGCTGCCACACGTGGACTAGTCAGGACAAGCGCCCCTTCCTAAACGCAGAAGCAGGCTCACCCTACGCCCTGTCACTGTGGATTTTTTGTAAATATATTCAGAGCCAAATGGTGTATACAGAGAATAAGCTGCCTCAGCCCCCAAGTCATTGGTACCAGAAGACACCTGCGAGTTGTGAAACAGACTGAGATGGGGTGGGGATGGGGGTCTGGAACGTCAGATATTGTTGCAATTCAGTTCTGAGGCACAGCACTTCTGAGCGAAGCCCTCTGATAAAGCCACGTGGATGTCAGGACAGCGCTAAGCTGTATATATTGTGTGGTTACTCTTCCGAGGTTCCGATCTCACCCCGATGGAGCAAACGTCAGTTAATCGGATTCTGAACCGGATACATTTTTAATGCTAAAAGAACAGATGGCATGGGGCAGTCTATGCTTTCATACCCAGAGTATGCACACACCGTCCATAGCGTCAGAACGACATGTATGCAAACAGGAATGATCAAGTAGATCGAAATTTTTCAACTGAGCAAACCAAATCTCTCCGAGCAAGGTCCCTTTTAAACCGCGCGGCGACTGACCTCACGGTATGCAAACACAGCGCTGGTTGTAAATGACTTGTTAATATATTTGTTTTAAAAAAATCCGACTCTCCAAAAACGAAGGTGGGCAGGAGGAAGATCGAGGTTTGAACTAGCAACAAGTCGTCTAGGAGCTTTCAGGTTTCATACACATTTCACGCAGCAGCTCTCCTATTGCCCCAATCCGTTTTAATACTTTTAATACAAATCCACATCCTCTGTTCTTAAATAGCACATTGAAAACAATCAGCGCACACTGACTTTTTCGACTATTTATGCACAGGATACATACTAGTGTTTAGTATATTAATTGCTAATCTTCAACGCCATCTTCTGAAATTTAAACGCAACTAAAGTCAGGGCTTTTTTCTAAAGCACGTTTAGGTTTTGGTTTATAACAGGACTCAAAGCCATGTCTAAAATGAAGTTTTAGGGTAAATCAAAGGCATGAACATTCCTTGAACTCAGGAATAACCAACAATTAAACACACTGTTCACATCTGCAGGCAGCTATCCCAGTAATCAACTCCTAAAACATCAAAGCAAGATAAGAAGTTCACAGCTTTAGCCATGGTTAAACATAGCCATCTAAAGTACCCCTAATATTTCCCAGAAAAGGCCTGATTTGGATATTGTTCATTAGAAGCAAAGATAATAATAACGGTATAGAGAGAATCATGGCAAACATTTCATCGGCTATATAAAAGTGTTACATATTGAATTAAGTGATAAATGGCAATTGTGGAATCCTTCCCCCTTTTTCCAGTTTGAAAGAAAGAACTCTGTCTCAGTGGCTGTGTCCAGACTCGGGTTTTTTCGGGAAAAGTAGCCTTTTTCCGAAAAAACTTCACCTGCGTCTAGACTGCAGCCACGTTCTTTCGAAATTAAATTGAAAGAACGCGGCTTTTCTTTCGACGGCGGTAAACCTCATTTCACGAGGAAGAACGCTTTCTTTCGAAAGTGCTTCTTTCGAAAGAAGGCGTTCTTGAATGTAAATAGGGCTTCTTCGAAAGAGAGCATCCAGACTCACTGGGTGCTTTCTTTCAAAAAAGCGGCTTGCTCTTTCGAAAGTTCCGCGTGCAGTCTAGACGCTCTCTTTCGAAAGAGGCTTGCAGTCTAGACATAGCCAGTGTGAAAAACAGACAGAACAAACCCCTCAGGATAGAACTAGAACTTTTCCCCAGTTTGGAGTAGTGGTTATATTTAATCTTACTTTTCAGCTGAAGTTAAAATAATTTTCTTGAAGAAAAACCCCTTACCTCTTAAGAAAAAAAAAGCCAGGTAGAACTTGCAAAAAAATATATGAAGACTGTATAGCTGACAAACAATGTTTGTTGTCTTTTATTAATTTTGCCAAAAGCATTCTATGGGAGAATGACCCCAACTGCCAAAATATTTAGGCATGAATGCTTACAAATAGACTCCTAAATCCATTTTTAAGCGCTTAAATAGTAGTGCCCAGATTTTCAGATGCTCTGGCATCTGCAGATCACGTCAACGTGAATACCAAAGTTTTCAGAGAAGCAGACCATTTCAATTTAGGTGGATAATCAAAAATTTAGGGGACCACTTTTAGGCATCCAGGTTGCAAAATTGTGTCCAGTAATTAAACTATGTTATTTTAAAGGTTCAGGGGGGTAAAGTTAATCTATAAAAGGAAAAACTTAAAAAACAACAAATAGTCTGGTAGCACTTTAAATAACAAAAAAAGTAGATGGTATCATGAGCTTTCGTGGGCACAGTCCACTTCCAGTCATTTGAAGAAGTGGGCTGTGACCACAA